GTAAGGCAACGGTAGGGATCGTTGTCAAAGACGGGCAACACATTCCTGTGTGCGGTGAACTCCTTCACGGCCTTGTCGATGCGAAGGCGAGCATGCTCGTACGCCCTGTTGATCCAGATCGGCTCATTCGAGGATCTCCGATAGGCGTAGACGAGGTAGCGGTTGGACAGCCAATCTGGGGTCTGCACCGCGCCAGCGGCCGTCTCGAAGACCCGAACCCCGTCCAACGCAGCCATTTGGAGGTCGATCACGAACTCGATCTCGGCATCAGGCCTCACGCCCTCCATGCAGTCACGTTCCCATGCTGGTTTCGGTGACATCATGGCGTAAAATCTGCGACGACTCCCGTCTCGCGACATTCCTCCTGGGATGATACCGCTCTCGACGATGCTCCTGAAGTGGCGGAAGTAGGTGGAATGGTATCCCATCTTCGGCATCGTGTGGAAAGTGCTGTGCGTGAAGCCAGCCTCTCCAACAGGAGGGAATTCGCGGAGACTGGGTTTCCACCCGTCGATCTCAGATGGAAGGATCTGCGATTCACAAGCATGGGGTCAGAGTTCTCGGTCATGAGCGCCCCGCTGTGGCCTTGGATTGCGCGGCATCGCAAAATCCTCCCTCCCGGGTGGATGAGAAACTCGAAGCGTTCCTTCTCAGACGACTCGCACACCTGGAAGATCTGCTCCATACGGAGCCCGTTCCAAATCTGCCCCAACGCCTCGAAGAATGCCGGGAAAGATGTCGTTCCATTCCCATCGAATTCAAGATGGGGTGCGTGGGCGCACTTTTTGGAGAAGCCACGGAGCAGCCACGTCATCTTTCGGCTCAACGTCTCGAGGGCGTTGGGAGAGAGGTAGCGCCTGATCTGAATGACCGGCATCTCGCTACCGACGCACCAGTATGCTGCTGACTCGTCGATGGTAGGACCATCCCTTCCGGGAGGTGCACGCGCAGGCATTGCCTTGGACGGCGCAGCTCGGGAAGGAGCAGGCAAGACCTTGTTCCCCAGGTCGGTGACGTCTTCGCTGAGATCAATGAGGGTCTTATCCTGGCGAACCCTCTCTCTCGTCTGCTGCAAGATCTCTTCCACGGAGGCATCCGGCTCGTTGATGGGGAGGAGCGGTTCACACGCAATGTCCGGATCGTCAGGATCATTGATGACAATGGTGTCAATGCCGCGCTCCTTCTCAATTTCGACGGCCTGCTCATCATCGAGCTGGCCTTCAACCGAGTCGAGGGCCTCCAACAACCTCCTCACACGAGGGTTGTTCGCGTCGAAGAGGATCACCTCGTCGTCATCGCCGCCAGACCCGTCAGGGTTGAGGTAAGCCCGGTCATCCTCAGTGATCGGGACTGCATCCACCTCCGGGTGGTTTTCGTCCGATGGAGTCGGTGCCTTCCGGACGACGTTCTGGGCGACAATGATCTCCTCGCTTTGATCTCTCGACGTAGGCGCCAGCCACGCGAAATCATCAATCTTGGGCCTCACCATGTCAGTGCACGGGGGGACCGTAAGGGATAACTCCGGCCGGGCCAAGTGGAAGTGATTGTTGAAGATCTGGCTTCGCTGATTTGCAAGGAAGTCCTCCCGCATCATGAAGATTTGCCGACCCGTCAGGGTGGTGGAGATGAGCGCTCGCCACCACTCCGTGGTAGCTTGGAAGTTGTCCTGCGAGGCCACCATGTGGTATTTGTCGTAACGGACCGTGCCGTAGAGATGGGCGAAAGGATCGATGACCTTCACGCCGTTCGACACCAGGTAGTCGGTGTGCTTCTTCATCTCCCTGTCGTATTCCCAATCCAGCCCGTAGGCCTGGGCGACAGTGCCAGCGACAACGGTCAGTGACCTGACACAATGATGTCCAGCCAACGCAACAACCTTCCGGAGTGCGGATTCCACCTTGGCCAACTGCTTGACGGGCCAGTGCTCCGCTTTGCGGACTTGCTCTTCTGTTTGCTTGATCCAGGGCGACACAAGGTGCCACGTGTAGCCCTGATACCCGTACGGGCCGTGGACGTCGTTCCCCGCCCAGCTAATGAAAATATCCAACCCGTCAGGGTGGTGGATCCTCAGGTAGTCCTCGACGATTTGCGTGAGGAGCGTGAGGTCCTTGCCCCATTCCATCATCACGTTGACTTCCGTCACGCGAGGGTCATGCGACAGAGCATCCCGAAGTGGACCTTGGAATGTCATCTTGTTGATGGCACGACCGCCCTTGTGCGTGCACAAGGCTAGTGAGGAGTCGCCGATGATGAGCACTTGGGACTTGATCATTGGCGGTGGCGGAATGCGCTCGAAAGCCGGGGTGTAGAAACCCCCCAGGAGCTGTACTACGTCCGTGTGCAGAGGTCGGTCAGACAGACCGTGCTCCATCTCGGTGACACGGTAGCACAAGTCGTAGGGCTTCGAGACGTCGAACGCACTCTGGGCCCTTGGCCCCCACCCTACGACAGCCATGTCGAAGATGAGGTCGAGCATGGTTTGCGTCCATCCCGCCAGGGAGGAGTCATGCACCGTTTTGGACGGCGCGTCGTCAGTGCTGTAGGCCCTGACGCCGTAGATCCGATACCACATCTCGTAGATTGTGGTCCACGGCACATTGGGATACCCCTTCCGGAGATCGAGCCACTGTTGCACAGGGATGACACGAAGAAACAAGTCATCGGGACTGTCAGCCTCCGTGGGCTCCCGGAAATTGCGCACTGCATCATCCCACCACGCTGGTGGTGAAAGTCCTGCCAAGGCGTCAGCCAGGCGATCCGCATCAGTAGCGGCGGCCGACATTTCCTGGAGACGTGCGGTACGCTCCTCTGCACTGAGAATCTCAACTGCACGAGATGCCATCCCTTCAGAAAGACAAGGAGGAGATTCGAGGCGAGGATTGCTGGGGAGCTTGATTGCTGGAGCGGCTACGTATGTGCAAGGAGTCCTGCTCATGTTTTCCTGGAACGCCTTGTGAATTAAATCAACCATGCGCAAGCAGTACTCTTCAGAGCTGCGACTACACTTGCCATGCACGTGCCCTCCTGTGCAACACTTGTCACGGAATGCAACATACAAGGAATCCAAGGTAGTAGCAATAGTCCACGGTTTCTTAACGGCTTCACCCTTTTCGTTGCGAAGACCGAAACGACAACCGTCGAAGTGGGCCTTCCGAATGGGTTTACCCTCGATCCATTTGACTATCCGAGTCCATTTCCAATACTCGCAGTCCTTTGGCCATTCAATGGCATAGTCGACCAGAAGTCGATCGAGGCCATGGGACAGGTCGACGAATGATGCCCAAAGCCTGGTGAATTTCCTCCGGGCCTCGAAGACGGCGCTTCGGTTCTTGTCGACGGCAAGATTAAGGCGAGCCCATTGCGAACCCCCCGTACAAGGAAGACTAGCCCAAACGAGGATGCGAAGACCGTCCTTGTGGGCCTCCTTTGCGATGGACAAAACTTCCCGTCGGGTTTTGGGATCGTTCAGGTTCATAGACTCAGTAATGCGAACGACCTTGCAGTCCTTATATTTGTTACTAGCAAGATTACCAATTAGTGAGTCGTCACCGCAACACACTTCAATGATCAACCGCTTGTGCAAAGGAGGAGACCTCTGCGTCAGCAGGGTGGATCCAGGAGTGGTGGCGGCTGCGCCAGATTTCCTCACGTCAAGCTTGAGGGGAGATATGGCCATAAGTGCAAGAGCACGCGACCACTTCTCTGCATTGGTGAATGGCTTAGTGAGGATATCGGCTGCTTGCAACAATGTACTGATGTACGCAATGTCATAGTGCTTTCTTCTGAATTGTTCAGAAATCCATCCCAAGTTAATCCTCTGCGTTTTGTCAGCATGACGAAAGGCTGGTGACTTACCTGACTCAAGGATCCTGATTGTAGCTTGGTTGTCCTCAAGCACGACAGGCTGAATGGAGTGAGGAACCGTAACCACAAGTCCTATGTCCTTATCTGAACCCTTGGGTGCAAGCTCTTCCGAGGACCGACCCCCCGTATTCCTGATGCCCTCGATCTCGCGGTGCATGAAAGCCTCCGCGTCAGCGTGGCGTCTGTAGTCCATGGTGGACCTGCGATAGACGATCACACATGCTTCGGCTTTAGGATCAACGGGTCTATCCCTTCTCTTAAGTTCTTCCCAGGCAACAGCTTCTTCAACTTGAACCCAAGTACCCTTTAACTTAACCCAAACGTCACGCAGTGGATGAGTGTTCATCTCAACTGGTTCAGGCAGGGACGAAAGGTTGGTGAGTAGTTCGACCACCCTACCATCAATGAGGTGCGAAGTGCCCAGGTAAGTAACTCCTTGGATAAGGGAATCCGGGTGGTTAGAGAGGAGTTTATTGGGAACATCACCCTTCCGGGGAGTGTGCTTAGGTTTTGTGCTGCTATCCCCCCCCGCATTCTGAAGCACGCTCCAAAGCGCGGAAGAAGGAAGACCTAATGCACGCAACGAAACATTTGCACACACAACCTCGGCCTCAGTGGAACTAAGGGCAATGCTGGTCTGCTTCTTACTGAAAGCTGCAAGGGGGAAGTACGTATTAGGACCAACCAAAGCAAGGAAGCCTCCTGAGGTGCTTTTGCTGTCATGCTCACCGGCATGGTCACTGTCGGCAAACAGCCACAGCTTGCAAGTGCTAATGTCATCACCTATGAATCCGCGCATGCGGTACTCCAATGTAGACGCGACATAGCACATCAAGCGATGCAAGGCTTTATCGCATTCAACAGACCATTTGGTGACGCGACTGGCCAATCCCTGAACTGCGCGCAGCAGATCGTACCTTGCCATCCTTGCTGCGAACAACAGCTTCATGAGAATGCGGCTTGCTATGGGAGCAAGCTGTCCGCGAGGTTCGGCCTCGGTGCCAACCGGGCGAGCGATCTTGTCGTCATGGAAGGGCGTAGCAACCTTTCGCAGGTGTTGGAATTGTGGGCCTGCGAGCTTCTTGTACTTATCAATGGCTTGTTGCAAAAAGGAACTCATGTCATACACAACTTCCTTAACATCCTTAGTCATGCAACCCTTGTTGTCGCTCAGTTGATTGACATCGAAGAATGCTTTCTTCCTCGCTTCTTTCTTAGCTTCGTTCTTGTCCCTGATCTTCTTAACTGCAGCAAGAGCTGACGCATGATCGTGCTTATCCGAAAGAAGATAAGTGGCACCAACCCACAACTTAGACCTCTTACCCCGACCGGAAGGATGATCCCATGATTGCTCGATAAGCTTATCATCATCAATGGACCTCACTTCCGTGAGTCGGTGTTGGCCAACGGCACAAAGCTTGGCTTCAGATGCCGGCAGGGCATAGAGTGCACGCCTGGGCTGCACGTGGTGACGCACCAAGACACCTTCTTCGGGATGGAATTCGGTGTAGTCCTCACGCACGACTGCAGCGGCAGTCTCCTTGGCAGCGGGATCACGAACGTTCTTGTCAAAGACGTGAGCAAAAGGATGATCAGAATGCTTAAGGTTTGCGCTCTTAGAGATGTGCTCGCAACCCAAGTAACGACCTATGGGGGAGGGGGAGTCCATGTCAATTTTCGAACTGATCAGCTCCCACCCTTTCTGCATGTTGGCTTTAGGTCCGGCCATCTTAAAGTCATCTACATAGACTGCGAGTAGAAGGCGAAGCTGGGGGTGGAAGAAAACTGAAGGCCACGCAGCCGGGAACACAAGCTGAAACCCGACCTCGCCTAGCATCTTTTCACAGTGTAACTCCCAGAAACCCCCGCTATCGGGATGACCGTAGAGTGCCAGCGTCAGCCGCACGACAGGATCTTTGTACTTTCCCTTCCACTCTGAAGGCCATCGGTCAGGCGGGAGCCTAACCCATGTTTCCTTTCCCTTGAGCGTGGTTTGGGTGTATGCTTGTTTGCCGTCGGCCTGCTGACAGTCGTTGCCCGGTGCGTGTCCATAGGCGTCAAGCGCTTTCCCAGCCTCCATCGTGGCGGGACTGGATCCGAGCTCACTGAAAAGAGCCTGATCACTATTCTCATCTTTGACGTTGTTCCCTTGGAACACGGTTCGACCCTTAAATTTCCGTTGTGGGTCACCTTTGGGAAGCTCACTTCCCTTTTCTACGCAGATCTCAAAAACTTTTCCAACATGAACCTTCTTCCCCTTTTTGATGGCTTCATCACTGACGTCTTTCCATTCCAGAACAGATCCCATATCCCAGGCTTTCTTAACCATTAATTTGTTCCACTCAACATCAAGGGCAGCCTGGGCCTTCGGGTCCTCGAGGATTTCTCTGCGACCAACAGGCCTTGCAACAAGAGCAAAAAGCTCTCGTACCTCGTCCTCTGAGACGGGAAGGTTGCTGGAAATCTTTTCGCGATGCTCGGGTTCATGAGGTACAGTAGGCATGGCAGGGAATGTGTCCTTACCATCTCCGTCAGGAGCGGGACTGTGGATTCTGTCCAGAATGAACTCAGTCTTGCCGATCCACTTGAAACTAGTCTTTTTGTTCCGCTTCCTAACGTTCTTCCAATCATCGTCCTCATGGATGACGTCAACACCACCTACGGGAATGATAGTTGTACTCCGTTGCTTAGAGATGCGCGATAGATCAATCGGACAATCGGTGATGTCCGGTGAGAACATTTCTCTTCTGGGAACGTAATGATAGCGTATTAGCTTACATTCGTTCAGTCGGACCTCCCAGTGGTCCTTGCTCGCAGCAGGTGCTGCGGCGGCAGCAGAGGAGCTACCGGCTGAACCCTCGGTAGGAGTCTCCATGTCACGCAATGCCTGTTCGCGTGCCTCATCAACAATGGCCTTCTCCTTCTGTTTCTTGGACATGTTGACCCAAAGGTATGAGGGAATGGATTCGGGCTTCTTAGAACCTCTGGTGCCTCCATACTTTCTACCAAGAGTACCCCCCGAATCATAGTACCGACCCCCTTCAGGAAGATCAATTTCTTTTCCCGTCTTAGGATCAAGTACCTTCTTGGGCGGCTCGACCTCTCGGTCTGCGGGTGCAGGCAGGTGCTCATCTGCAGCTTCAGCGTCCTGATTGGTGAGCGATTGACTGACAGGTCCTTCAGTGGCATCTGGCACTCGTGGAAATCATGCTTGTTCAGCTGCTTGAGATGAATTGCAAAGACCTCCTTGCGCCATTTCATACCAGGCTGGAACTTGTATCCCATAAAGATCGCAGGCTCACTGGTAGGCTCGAATCTGTCTCTACCCTTGCGCTGGGCTTTCGGACCAACCCAAACGTCAATCCTACAACCGAAAGGAAGGGGTTCTTCAGGGAATGCAACACCAAAACGCTTGAACCAAGGGGTAAACTCTTTGCCCCCCGGATTGCTGATGTTGTAGGCAGTGCACGCATGCTCAAGGGCAAACGGCCAGTAAACATGCGAAATGCCAGCTTGAATGAGATTGGTGCGAGTGCCCTCGGTGGTGGCTCGCACAGCACGCTCAGCAACAGCGTTGGACTGATGGATATAAGCCTTAGAGAGCTCATGGCGCCAGCCGAGCGTTTTGGCCGCAGCCTCAAGTTCCCTAGACTTATCGCTGTAGAAAGTCTCCACATTGTCCTTCGCGGATGCGAAGTGCTGGAGCGCCACGAGGCATTCGTCTTCCGACTTCAATGCAGCAGGGTATGCATACATGAAACAAGTGGCAACATCCTTAACCACAAGTGCAAGACGTGAATCCTCAATGACAGTTTGCTTGTCCCTGTGCAAGATCAGATGATCTGCGGTCACGTGGTCGCCAAAGACCTCTGCTTCGATAGTACTGGTTTCCTTCTTGTAAGAAGGAGGCTTGTACATCTTAGCTCGTTGGCATATTTGGCAGTAAGGGTTCTTGGGGACATGAGTCATAAGGTGTTCACGGGTTGTTGATTCTTTGATCAGAGCTTCTTTGCTCCGACTACGAGCTCTACGTTCAGGTGCTTCAGGATCGTCACTTGATGCTGCTTCCCCATCAGGGGCATCGGCCGCTGCCGGGGCAGGAGGACCGACGTCCGGTTCAGCACGCACCTCGTCAGAGGGCGGAGCATGGCGAGAACCATCTAGAATGGCTCGTACCCGCGCCGCTCCTTCGGACCTGAGGAGACCAGAGTCTCGAACACCATCCCTGGGCTCGGATTTTGCTTTTGGTTCAGGCTTAGGCTTAGCGTTAAGTTTTACTGTAGGCTTGGTGCGATCCGGCAAAGGCCGAACAGGCATGTCTTCCTCCATCAGTTCCCTGAGAGTCCTTTCGTCAGGATCATCGGCGGATGCCGGCGCAATAGGAACCCTCTTGTGAGGAATAACAAACCCACAACCTCGAAGCTTCGCAACGTCCTGGTTATCAAGTTGGTAAACTGACCTACAGGTGTAGGCAGTAATGCTCCAACGTTCACCCTTCCAAGGCCTCACAGAATGGGATGTCTTCGGGTCAAAAACAACAATCTTGTTGTGACTGTCATGGACCATCCCAGGGAGTTTGGTGCCTACAGAATCCTTGACCTCTAGATAATTTTTATCGGTTTTCATAGCGTTCGGGTCATGAATCCAAAGGCCACCATTGGAAAACTCTCCCACGGCAATCGTAACATTGAGATGGTCTTTGTGATTGTTCACATCCTTATGGACCTTGATAGGCGAGTTCTGGTTGATGCAGAGTGATGAACAGCTCTCCAACTCCGCCCCTCTCTTGCGAAGAAATGCGATGAGATACTTGATGGTGTTAACATGGCGTCCAGTTCTCTTGGTTACACCATGAAACCCTCCATGCGCAAAGGCACCAAGTATCACGTACTTCTCTTTGCTACTGCCACGCTTCTCTCCTAGTGCTTTTCTTCTACTCCTACCTGCTCCAAAATTGACGGTGCGCAAGAGATCAACGCACGATCGCTCCGAGAAGTCGTGCTTCTCCAGAAGCTGCGAAGCAATCTCTTCAGAGCTGCGATCAGGCATTTCACCTCTGGCAACAGGCTGAATCTCATCGGACCTAGATTCACGCGCAGGGCAGGCAGTGCCCTCCTTCCACGATTTGAGGAAAGGCACGTTATCTCGAACATCAAGGAAAACTCTTTCACCCTCAGGAGTCTTCAAGTAAGGGCGAGTACAGGCTCTCCAAATGAAATCGAAACCTTGCTCCATGCAACGCTGTCCTATGGAGAGGACTGAAGGAGTGTCCGGCAGTACATAAGGCTTGGCAGAAATAGCAATCGACGGAACGTCGACATCACATTGCTTGTCAGCAGAGCTGGGACCGTTCGCGGTCATGATGTTGATCGGCTGTTCAGACTCATAAGCCTTCAAATGCTGGAGATCCCTCTCCGCGATTAGGTCTTGTGCACTCCCTGTGTCACCAATCCACTCAAGGTTAAGCATCTTAGAGGACCCTTTAGTCTTAGCAGGGCACGACATTCTGAGACCCTTTGGGATACAGTGATTACATCCAATCTCCGAATCACACTCCCATCGGCAGGCCGGAACGTCGTCCTTGGTAGAGATGGAAGCTTTCAGCATCTTCGCTGACATCTGGGCCTCTCGGATGGAGTCTGCTCTGGTTTCTGGAACAAAATCCAAAGGCTTTTCTCCTCGATGCTTACGGTTGGTGGGCGATACTGGAGTGAACCTCGCGTTGGGATCACTAACAGGAATGTTAATGTAATCGACTTCAGAGCTGAAATTTACCGCTGGTAGCGCCAGACTATAGGGATACGTGCAATTGGTGACCTGGTCCGTCCACTCCTTCCGGAGGGAGAAAGCATCGGCTTGGGTGGCCGAACCAGCAACAAGAGCACTAAGGAGACATACAGCAGCAGGGATACCGCTTGAAGGCTTCTTTCTGCCTGAGCCCTTCGAGTTCTTGGAGCCTTGACTTCCCTTGGAATTCCTGCTACCCTTAGAACCCTTGGAGCTAGAGCGAGAAGACTTGCGATCTTTCTTCTTCTTGCGGTCCTTCTTCTTCCCTTTGCCTTTTGACCCCTTCCCACTGGTTTCGGAAGGCGCAGCTGCACCTGGCTTGCCTGTGTGGAGAAAATTGCAGTTCTCCCCCCGATCGCAACGTCCTTGCTTGTAGAACTTGCAGATCTTAGGCTTACCACCGGGGCTTGCAGAGCTTGCTCGTGAGCCAGCCGGCGTAGCGGAGCGGCCGCGTCCCTTGGCCGGAGTCTGGTGCTTGTACTTACATTGGTCACCTTTGGTACAGGAACCATTACGGACCCATGAAACGCAGAAACCTTTAGGAACCCTCTTAGGTGCAGGTGCAGTGGGCACAGCAGGACTGCCCGTCTGTCGAGCCATCCGTTCCCGGTTGCGTTCAAGGCGCTTCCTGTTGAGGTGCGCATTCGCAGCATCATACAGGAAACTGTAGGACCGTTCTTTGGAACCTTCAAGAGCTCTTTCGTAGATGTTGATGTCATGCGAGAGAGCCTTGACCTTTTTGACCTGTCTATGGAATAGTGGTTCGAGGAATGATGCTTCCGGGGTTTTGGGAATCCCCGACAACACCGTGTCCCAATTTCGCATAAAGGTGAGAAGATTCTCATTGAGCAACGTGACTGAAAGCAAATCTTCCATGTCATACACCGCTCCGTGTTGAGCGTTCGTCGCAAAGTAATTGTGAATCCTGAAGAGAATCTGCCTTCCTCTAACTGGGCGTCCGGCGTTGGCCTCTGTTTCTTTGAAGGTGTCCACCTGACGTGCAAAGTCGCCTTCCAGGATGTTTGACAGAGCTGAAAGAATCTTAGCGTCAAGGGTGGTGAATCCTTCCGGATCACGAAGGGTTTCTTCCTTCATATCGGCTTCCCAAACCCTAGACAACCACTCGAAAGCTTTATCAGGCTTATCAGATGCAGCTACAACCGCGTCACGAACTCTGATGCGCCAATTGCGATAGCTGTCAGGCTGAGGAAACTTTGGGACTATAACCTTCTCAGCTTCCTTCGTTTTGGGGGCCTTGTCCGATGATTCGGCTTTATCGGCATCTTTGTCACTCGAGCCACCTTTCATCATCTTCTTGAAGAATCTCTTCATCTCTTTCGGTGAAATAGCCGAAGATGAGGAAGAATCAGAGGACGAAGATGAGTCCCTCTTTTTCTTCTTCTTCTTCTTCTTCTTTTTGTCGTCCTTCTTTTTCTTCTTGTCTCCATCATCATCGTCATCGTCATCATCTGGGTCACCTGGCTTGCCTTTGCCTCGGCCAGGCGGTGTGTCGAGGCGATGCACCTGTGGGAGGCCGGGCGGTGGCCCGCTAGGACCAGGGTTGCCTTCCGGCTCCCGATGATGGGGCGAATCGGTCTGACTGGCAGCCTTCTGTAGCATCTCTTGAGCTTGAAGCAACTTAGCACGAAGATCAGAGTTCTCGCTCGTGAGTGCTGAGCGATGCTCGGCTTCAGAATTGAAGCGTCCGAGCATAGCATTGAATTCAACTTTCATGCTCTCAACCTGTTCGGATAGTCTCGCATTGTGAATGGCGTACTCGCTCTGAACATTGTGAGAAAGCCTCTCAAGTTTGGAGTATTCGGCATTAGCGTAGGCTTCCGCCTCGCAAAGACGCTTGTGGAGCTCAATGGCTTCAGTCCTTGCTCTGGCAAGAGCAGCAGAATGCTGATCAATGATACCTTGATCATTGCTCGACTTAGTGGCGGCTTCACTCTCAAGCTGCTTAAGATTGTTCTGAAGGACAGTATACTCATGACGCAATTGTGCCACCTTGGATGTGGCCTGGGAACTAAGTATGTTGATTTCCTCCCTATGAGCCTCCCCTATGGCTCCTACAATTTCCCTGTGGCGCGCCTCTGCGGCCATGGCAATGGCTGGCCCAGTATCCGCGTTGACGTGGACGTCAACCTGGCTCAGCGCCAATTGCCTTGCGTCAACTTGACTCACCTGGAGCTGCCTACGGTCTATGTTCTGGGCATTGAACGTCGGAGAGAACACTGAAGGAGCTCTCTCTGTCGGTGAGTATGCTGGGGTGCTTAGCCCTGGAACCATGTTCCAAGAGTTGATGGAGCCTAAACCTGGCACATTACCAGTGGCAAGTCGTTGCTCGCTAACTGCTCCAACATGCATGATTCTTGGATCGTTCTGGGCTGCGAGCATTGCCAAGTTCTCTTGACTGAGCGGCATAACCTCACCATCCCTGGGAGGGTTTGTCGATACAGCTGTAGGTTCCCCTACAACGGGGTTGCTAAGCAGTGACATTGTTTCGTCCTCCACAGGTACGGGGATTGCTGCAGCATTTCCGGGAGATTGCCCTTCCATGACACCGGCAGGTAGTGTTAGAGTCTACGGCTGATAACCTATTGTTACCAGCGGAAAGCCCTAAACTCAACGAGTACAGTGCAACGCACTTTTGTCTTGAGCCAATGAAGTAGCGTAAGTAGGGTAATACAGCTGATATCTTGAAGTATCGACATCTTTGCCACCCGCCTAGCAGATGCTAGGGTTTAGGGTTAGGGCTTCAAAGCCTAAACCCTAAACCCAGAGCCCAATTGAGGGTGTACGGTCTACCGGGGTTCAGGGTTTAGGATTTGGGGATTTCGGTCTGCAGGTGTCGATTTTTGTCTTGGTTTGCACATGTCAGGTACAAAGAAAGCAAACCGTGCTGCTGTTTCTTTCACTTCAGGGTACAAATAAACCAACATGTGACATACTCTGAAGCTCTTACTTGGAACCTGAATATGCATCGCTATACGGATGCTGGGTACCTGGATGCCTGCGGGTTAAGCTTTGCACTAAGCAGCTCCAACCGGACTCCAACATGTATGTCCAGAGTTCAGGACACGACTGTGAAGAGTGCTGCCAAGATTCAGAATCATGACCCTCACGCCGGTAACACGGCTAACGTCCAGGGAGCAAGAACCTCGGCTGTTACACATTCGTGAAACGTTTTCAGATCAGTTTGCAACTCTCACCTGTCCATTAAGCGTTAGCCTCACAGCCGGGGAAGGTGCCTGAAAGCTTGTTGCACAGGCCTTGCTGGAACGGGCGCACGGTTCAAACCAGACAAGTCGTACTCCCTATGAAGGCTTCGAATGAGCTGAACCATTTGTCTGAGAAGCCCTCTTAATGGCTCTTCTCAGCAAAAGAATAAGACACAGAACCGGCCTCTTAATGCAGGTTCGTGGCCGCAAGACCATCGCGTCTGCTTCGTGAACCACGAAAACGGGAGAAACGCCGAGAAGGTGGAGCCAGCAGGTCCAGGTGGAAGAGCAATCGCAGCTCCGAAATCATTATACCTGGCAGGCTTCCTGAAATCGGGAGTATTCAAGCAGAACCCATGTAGATGTATCGGGAAACCTCTTCATTTAGACTCCATTTTGGGACAAGCCCCACCTGCTCGCGTCGTTCAGTGCGATGTGAACCGCCAGGGGAACAATGCTGTCCTCTGGCAAAGTGTCAAACTCAACCCAAAGTCCAGCGTAAGAAGTCAGATCTCTCGCAGCAAAGCTTCGTCGAAAAGAGGCGAAGCCTCCTCCGTTGAGATTGATACTTCCCTCAAACTTCGCTCCAGTATCTGCGAGCTCCAGAGCACCACTGGACCTACCACCCATCACTCCATCATTCTGGATGTACCAGCCCCCGCCAGTCCACTGACCCATGTCCAGGGCGGCTCCGCGCACTTCCCCGATGATAAGGTAAACTGCAAAGAAGGCCAGGAACCTGCATGATCTTTGCGGCAGCGTAGCCATGCCGAAGGGATGCACTGCCGATCGTGCTAGTGTTCGTCCTGGCAAGGCCAGATTACCCCGATAGATCTCTGCTGATTTGCCAACATAGCATGCCCTTTAATTATGTTCCAAGCAACAGGCTATCACAAAACATGTGCGTTTGAGCCATAGGAAGCTCATGATGCTTGCAAGGTGGACATCTAGCTTGCTCATGTGAGGCATGCACACTCTTCGAGGTCTTCCAAGCAAGACGCTGCGGTACTTCTTTATTTGGATTTCGCTAATTGTATTAGATTCGGGCCTTTCTGCTACTTTGTGGCCATTGCGTCACCGAAACCTCGATACACCAAAGAGAACGCCGTTCTATCATGGAACTGCACCAAAGAGCCAGAGCCTCACACACATACGATACTCTATTAAGCACAAACATATACGTCGATACGAGGCGGAAGTGTTAGTAAGGAAATGCTTGAGAAACAAACAGCGGTACTCGTCCTATTGCTGCTACTGCCTGCACCTCCTCGTACCGCTCTTGACATCGAAGGGTTTTCATTCGATTGTTCAAGTCTCTGCGGAGAGCAAAAGTCTAAAACCATCTGCCCCCTGTCTGGCCCCACTAATTGTCCCGAACCTTCGTCGATTTGCGAACAAATACGTGCCTCCCAAGCTCTCAAAAACCACAGGCTCGTACCCAAGTTAGCATAACGCTCAGCCAGGTGATTCATGTTTCGCTTCCGATCAGCATCTTGATTTGCATTGAAGAGGGTTTCTTGTGCCGCAAGGGAGAGATTTAGTCACCTGGAAAGGCGAAGTAACCACGAGATCGACCGCAATATGTGGGAAGCGCCACCAATTGTTCTGTCGCAAAGCTGGGTGTAAGATTAACAAGTCGCAAAGCTGCAGGTGCGATTAACAAAATATCGGCGGGTCGGTTCTGTGGATCGTCGCTCAGCAAGACAGTTGGATTCAATGTTGGACGAAGCCCAGCCAAATTCGTTTTGCGATGGACCGTATTCCGGAGACAAATTATGACTCCCTACTTTGAAACCTTGACGCATACAACCCAAGACATAATAACCATGAGGATCAACAACTTCATTACAAAATGCGTACACATTTCCCAACCTAGGAGTGCAAAAGTGGGGTACTAAATAATTTATGGAATATTATCTTTCGATATACACATTTCATTAGATTGAATCCTATGCTTTTGACGTCCCCTATATTTCGAATAGAAGTACTTTGGATGGACGATGAGTAGTCCCCTTTCAATCTGTGGTTTTGGCCATGAATATGAAACATATGCATGCAGAAGGTAATGGGAAGTGCATGACAAGAAATCTTAGCTTCTACCCTCTCGTTGAGAGTTTAGGACGCCTAGAGCAAGGGTCTACGAATCTTTTAGTTAGTTTGCGTGTACGAATCGATCAGTATCGTCGTATAACAAGGTAGATATTCTTCTAAGAATATTTATTCGGCCTGAATAAATATGAAAATTCTTCGGTTTCATTCCTTATTTATTTCATGATTAGAATCATCAGACACCTCCTCTTATTTTCCTTCTTTCTGAAACGTCCTATATATTTGAGAGTAGTAGCGGATCTTTGAACACGATAAAAATGTCTTTAAAAATATGAAATTTATAGATAATTAAACTCATGAATTGCTAAGTTTCATATAATTTCATTATTCAAGAATCATTTTGAATGCAAATAAGATCAATCTTATCAGAACCATAATATGAATACAAGAGAAAAATTTTCCTTCACCGCCAAAACAAAGAAATCCAAAGAAATCTATGAAATGAGAAGGCCCAATATAAATATATATATATATACAGATATTTGAATATATATATATATACATATATATATATATATATCATAGATTCGAATTCTATCGATCTAGATGTCATCTAATATATTTATCCTTGGAATCATTTCCATCATTCGATACAATGCTCGTACACCCTCAAATTGTGGGGAATCAAAAATGTTTCATTGACAATATTTAATTCGATTGTATCTTTCGAAGCATACATCTTGTGAATTGTATAGTCTTGGATCTCTCATGTCTATGACTACGCTTAGGAGATGGTCGCTTGAAAATGTTTCGTCGAAGTCCTGAACTAAAGGTTTCTCCACGAGATTGGTCGTGGCGAGCGGAGGGTGGGGGGTCCAGGGTTAAGAAGTAAACAAGAATCTCCAATATTGTCAGATTATATTCTAACCGTACCCTAATAGTGATTTAGGGTATCATAACCCACGCCTAAGCCTTGCAGCCTTGGGTTTCCTTCTCAAAACTTCCCACTCAAGTCCTGAACGTACCATGACGCACCATAAGACGGTCGTAGGCTTCCCTTTCGACCGGAGGCCACACTGAAGAGATCGCAAAAGTGCATACCTCCAGGTGGAGCCTCTGCCTTATCTGGAACATGGGTGCGCTGCGCGGGACTAAAATCACCAGCCAGCAGGGCACCAGCTACCAAGAGGAATCCCAACTTTTTGCGACAGTTGCACCGGCAAACCGCGGAAAGTCCTCAGGACTGTCCCGCTCATGCCGACTGTCAGCTTCGTTGCCGTAGCTCCACTCATGGTCCACGCAGCTGGTCTTCAGGCGTTGGCCATGACTAGCACGACGTGCAGGCTTGCACTTTCAGCTGGCACAGATGTGCTCATTGTCCGCAACTACACTCAAGCCTGTGCGCATGCGCTACCTGCATGTCGGCAAGAAACTGGTGCTTACCAACTTGTTGGCTGTGACTCTGGCCACGTGTAAACAACGTCCGCTTGTATAAAAGCATTCGCTGCGCTCTTCATGCACAGCCGAAGTTTAGGCACTCGGGCCAGCAACGCAGCCATCTCAAGCAACCGGCAAACACCCCTGACTGCCTAACTACAGCGACAGCAATGTTTGAGAAGTCTTTGGCTTAAGGATCCAGGGACTCCATAGTGTCTCGGCCCAGAGACTGTCCTGAATTAAGACATACGGGGGTGATATTTTGGGGCTGGAACGTTAAGAGATGCAGGGCCATTGAATGCAGGGCTGACCGAGCAGCCTCGATTTCTCAAAGCCAGCTGTGTCCGGCGCCGCCACTGCAGCAGCTAGAACATAAACCCTTTAACAGTACCCGCGATTGGGTCCGTCTCAAAGCGATTGATGTGCGTATTCAGATGGCGTGCGCACAGCAGCACTTGCCTTGGGCACACGGCCGGGAATCAAGCAGCTGGGAAAGGGGTTGGGATCATTCACAGTTCATGAAGAACAAATTAGTTTAAGACAGTTCGTGTATACAAGGAGGCCTGCGCCAGTCATCATACTGCGCCTTGCAGCGAGGGAACGGCAAAGCTGCCAAGCCAACGGCACAATGCCAAGGGGAACCCTGATGAGCTGACGGATCTAGAACGGTCACGGGCACTCCGGTTCGTCAACAAACCAAGGCAGCCGTATTTCCTAACTGGGGCTCATCAGCTCTCGGTAGACTTGTTTCACGGCTTTGCGCCTTCTCCTCTTTGATACGCTCCTGCAGCAAGTGCGAGCACATGGCACTCACGCTCTCACATAGTTAGCCTGTCATACAAACTTGAGGGGACAAGCCGACGCCAATGAAAGCTTGCCCTTCAAGCAAACAGCTTTCACGCCATCACCACACCAACCCCCGATCCCTTCGCCAAAACAAGGGGAAGCTAGAATCGTGAAAAGCCCGTGGGTTCCCTCACCGCACCGCGCCAGCACCACACTAGCAGCACCACGACCACAACCCACTATGCCCCTGCCACAGCACCACCACCTGATGCAAATGTTGCTCGCAGTGGTGCTGATATGACGATGATGATGATGATGGTGGCGATGATGGTGGTGATGATGTAGATGATGCTGAAAATCAGATAGCTGCTAGCACACATTCTACAAATGATGGCAACGATGCCGACCAAAAACGCGCACAAACTTGCCAAGAATCCACTCTGATTCAACAATACTCACCCCAACACTACTACCACCACCACCACCACCACCACCACCACCGCCACCCCCAACGGCCCACAACAATGTTGATGCTGAAGGTAAGGATGCTGCTGCTGCTGATGATGCTGACTCCGTGGTACTGAAGATACTCTTTTTGCGGCCCAGTTTATGGTGACGTTTTGGTGATGAAGGTTCCAGGCGTAGATTACGCAGATGATGATGACGATGATGATGATGACCATGATTTCAATGATGCCAGCCAAGGAAGGCAAAAAAACGGTGCTGCGCCGCTGGTAACAGTAAAGATGCTGATGATAATGCAGAGTCCATGATGCTGATGTTGGTTGCGTCTGCAACAGAGATAGAAAAGCTTATTCGCTGTGGCTTATCTTCAAATGCTACATATTGATAAGCCATTTGAGTACAGAAATGAAAGAACACACCAAAACCATCCGTGTGAAATGGTGACAAAGACTAGATAGTGACATCATTCCTTCCACAAGAACCGTTTGTTTCTGAGCCAAAGGCAGGAATTACATGGCCAAGCAATGATAGGAAATTCAGGCACATTGGGCAGCAAGAAGAAACTCATGGCTGAATCATGTTGCATGGCTAAACGATGGCAGCAAACCAGAAGTTACATGGCCAATTAAGGCATCACATCATGGTGTGAGCGGGGGAGTATGGCGGGTAGTGGTGGTCATTATCAGCATCATCTACGCCTTCAGGCCCGTGGAATCGTCATCTTCAACATCATGGAGTCGGCACCATCACCATCTTGTTTAAGGCAGAAGCGGAGGGGAGGAGTGGGGCGGGGGCCTGCCACCCCCCCCACCCCTGGCCCAATGTACCCCATGTCTTGGCAGATTGATGCATCAATTCAACTCCGATACGCCCGCATCGGAAATCATCGGATAAATATCAACTTTCCCCCAGCTTGCTGCTTTCCAGACCTTGTCCCAAGCAGGACACCACTGCTAAAGCAAGACACAACTCAAGCCTAGCTTCTTGCCCTCCAGTTGATGGATTGTCGGGTGAACAAGAGGCCAGATTCTTCGACTTTCTATTTAGCAACCACCCTAAACCCTAAACCCTACCACCCTAAACGCCAAACCCTAAACCCTAAACCCTAAACCCTAAACCCTAAACCCTAAACCCTAAACCCTAAACCCTAAACCCTAAACCCTACCACCCTAAACGCTAAACCCTCAACCCTACCACCCAAAACCCAAAACCCTAAACCCTTTGCGTCCTCTTCCTCGGCGGACAGAGGCCCTTTCGAAGCCGGGTCTTTGCCAAGCTCCCACGTCCCCGCCTCAGACTCGCAGGAAAAGGACGCATCAAGAGTTCAGGGTTTAGGGTTTAGGGTTTAGGGTTTAGGGTTTAGGGTTTAGGGTTTAGGGTTTAAAGGTTTAGGGTTTAGGGTTCACGCTACATCTTTATGAGGGAGGGGCTTCGGAGCCCTCATCTGGTCACGCCTATACCTTTTAGGAACCCGGGCTGCCATTTGGCCTTAGGTGCCCTGCCATCTTTCGCTTGCTTGTTGTGCTTGATGACTTGGGCTCCTGGGGGTCCGGATGTCAAAAAGGACAGGTTGGAGTTTAGGGTTTTTCTTCCCACCCGTGGTTTAGGGTTTAGGATGATCAGGCAGGTATAGACTGGGTACACAGGTTCCTCAGCTCCCAGAGACTCTTCCTCCACCTCGGCAAGTTTTTTTGCAACAGACTCTTCGAACTGCAATGAACTGCAGGTCCTCCGACTGCATCATCAGGTCCAACCTGCCGTCTGAGTGCATATGGCGATTTCGGAACACAAGGGGCCTCCCCAAAGCTCGTGCCGCTGCTGTATGGGGGCTGTACGAAATTAGGGGGTGCCTTATTATAAGGGGATCCTACTATTTGGGGGTCTATATGAGGGGCCCCTGATTATCTTGAAGCCCCATATGGTTGTACACTACGAGCACCTTCCTCCCCTAGTCTCCGAAGCTTTGGGTTCAGGGTCTTTTTTGAGGCAAAGGGTGTTCTTTTGTGTGCTTGCTACTCAAGGTTTCGACCGACACCTGCTGATGGGGATTCGGTACGGTACTCACAGATTTCAGGGGGTTTTGCAGGACACTGAACTACCTCAGACTGAGACCAAAGACTACGTTGGAGCATCAGAAGCTTCAGATGTTTTAGGATGTCAACGCTCACACTTGCCCTCTGCTTGATCTTTGAAAGGTGTTCAGCAGAATGCCAGATGAACAGGATGCTTACGCTCTCATTAGGCCCCCATGCAACACATGCAAAAAAGCAGTTCTTTGCTTTGGGGTCGTAGCCTTGGGAGGGACAGGCAGCTCTTCACATCAGATGCGTCCGAGTTCAGAAGACGCTTGCTGGGCCACTGGGCCTGACCCTACAGGTACCTCCCCTATGCCTCAAAAGGCCTTCTGTTCTCCAAGTCAGAAATTTGACCTCGACCTTTCGCTGTGTCCCATGGCACCAAGGCACAAGCCCTCGTGCCCTACACTTGAAAAGGGGCCAGGCGGTTGCTTTGCGTCGCAAAACTCGTCCAAGGGGCAAGCATGTGTGTTGGCGTGTGCGTGTGCAGAACTTTTGACGCAGAAACAGCCGAACTTCGTTTCCCACCCAAAAATCGGCCATCTGATACATTACAGAGGGACAGGGTTCGCCATCATGGAATGGATTCGACAACAGTCTGAACCTCTACGAGCGTATATACTATATACATATATTATATAATACGCATGCGAACTGTCCAGCTCATCAACAATCCAAAACGTACCGGCGCACGAACACTCTGTAATATGCGGTTGATTCCCAGTATACCGCAAAAAGGCATTGCGCACGTAGTGCAAGGTAGGATTCAACACCATGGCCACCGCCTGAATGATGACAACCAAGGCTGGATTCAGTTCGTTGAATCTCAAGAGGATGAACATCACACAGCCACCAAGTCTTCTTCTAAAGTTTCGGGAGTTTGCATTTTTCAGAACAGGTGCTACTGCTTGACAGCAAGACTCATGAGACTGGGACACCAGCTTCTTGAGGAGGCTGTCTTTCAGACCGCCTCAAAGAACAACCTTAACGTGCAAGAGCGGGCGCAGTCGCAGGCGCAGTCGCTGTCGCGGGTGCGGTCGGCGCGGTCGCTGTCGCCGCCACGGTCGCCGGCGCAGTCACATGCGCAGTCGCGGGCGCAGTCGCGGCAAGAAAGACACTCTGCAATGTGACCTGGCCGCACAGACTTATCCCGTTGAAGAGATTGCAGTCTTGTATGAGAACTTGCCCCGAGACTTCGCCAACTACATGAGACACCACGTGTCGAACGAAGTGTACTCGCGACTGGTTCCGTGATATTCTCTTCAAGAGACCTTGATCTCCTCCCTCAGTCTCGACTGACACGGCTGCTGCCTTCCCTGCACTGCGTGCAATTTATTTACAGTATATGGCAGAAAGAAGCTTCGGGCGGTCCTGAAGAGATTGAAGTCACGGTCCTACCAGAACGACAGCTCGGGCAGACCCAACACACAATGCTCGGAACTAAACGCCGTGAAGGTCCTCTTGGGGAAGAGACAAGAGCTTCCTTTGATGTACCTTCACGCACGCTGCGGACTTGCGTGCGGGAACCACCTCGAACATGAAAGTGGTTTCAAGCATCAGCGCACATTGTCTTGCGTCAGCTTCTTGTGCTCAAGCTTGCGCAAGCGACCCTAAGGCACCATAGCAACTGTTGGACTGTCACCGTGCCACCATGGACTCTTGCCAATCGTCAGACATCTGAGATAGAGGCGACCTTGGGCGTCTTTGGCAAGAGCGTAGACTGCGGGCTGTCCATATGCCCAAAATAGACTCCAGGAAGGACCTGACAGCTGAAGCCTCATTGCTCGCCCTGCCTCTTTTTGAACTTCAATGCTGATCATTTTGATCGCTGGGATTGCGGAAAGTTTCGCCGAAATTATTTAGCAGGCTCACATGTTCCGGAATTGTGCTAATCATTTCGGGTCATCTGAAATTACACTCTGTCAGTTCTTTAAACTTTGCTACTTAGCAGCTACTGAGAGCTGAAAGTCTGAGGCTGCCCAGGGCGCTGCGAAACACATCTGTCCTCCTGAAATTCTTCTGAAATGCTTGTGAAAGTCTTCTGAGATCCTCCGAGATCCTCCTGAGATTCTTCGTACTGCTGAGCTGATGAGCCAGCGACCCCCGCCCCCCCCCCCCCCTCCCCCCACCACACTATTCCGGGATACCTATCTGTTGATCAGCATACAACACCTTCACCATGTCTGCCCAGATTCTGCAAAAGGAAAACAGCCAACAAACCCTGAAGATCCTCAAACCTTCAGGCGCTGCCTGCACGGGAAGGCTGGCTTCCTCCGCCTCACGCAAGGCCGCCCGCTGCGCCGCCACGGCAAACTCCGCCTGCGATCTACCGATTTGCTTACACCAAACGACTGTGACTGTGCAACGTGCTGTGGCCGCCACCATTGCAATCATGTCCGCATCCAAACCTACAGGAAGAGCCATGCAAGTCCTCTCCCCACTGCTCAGCTCATGCTCACAGTGTGTCCACCTGTTCAGGTCCAATCCGGCCTCCTCTTCTTTGCAACTTTGCATCGGTGGTAGCTTTTGTAAATGTGGGCCAGGGACTGCTCGTTTGAGGTAGGAGGTCACCTGCGCGGGGATCAACCTTGAAACAAAAAAAAGGGTGGAGTTTTTTTTGGGTCTTTTTTTTTTTTGGGGGGGGGGGGGTTCTTATTTTTTTTTTTTGGTCGATTTTCTTGGTTTTCTCTAGGAAAAACCCTACTTTCCTTGCATTTTGGACGGATTTTCTGTAATTTCCCTTCGGTTTTCGTTGGTTTTTTTCATAGGGAAACCTATTGTTTTACATTTTGGACGGATTTCCTGTAATTTCCCTTAGGTTTTCCTTGGTTTTTCCTAGGGGGAAAACCCTATTTTCCTTACATTTTGGACAGATATCCTGTCATTTCCTTCGTTTTTTGGGCTTTGAAGCACGCTTGGTACGGCTTAAAAGAAGCGGGGGGGGTTGGGGGGTGGGGGGGGGGGCAGCCCCCCCACTTGCAAACACCTCTTGGGCTTTGAAGCACGCTCTGCACGGCTTCAAAAAAAAAAGAGCGGGGGGGGCGCAGCCCCCCCATTTGCAAACACAATGCACACACGATGTTTTTCAATTAGTTTCTTGGGCTTTGAAGCACGCTTGGTACAGCTTAAAAGAAGCGGGGGGGTTGGGGACGCTGTGCCCCCCATTTGCAAACACCCTGCTCACATGATGGGTTTCAACTACTTTCTTGCGCTTTGGCTGAAAGAAAGCGGGGGGGTTGGGGGGGGCGCAGCCCCCCCCATTTGCAATGCTCACACGATGTTTTTCAACTAGTTTCTTGGGCTTTGAAGCACGCTTGGTACGGCTTAAAAGAAGCGGGGGGGGTTGGGGGAGGGGCGCAGCCCCCCCCCCATTTGCAAACACCCTGCTCACATGATGGGTGTCAACAAGTTTCTTGGGCTTTGAAGCGCGCTCTGCACGGCTTAAAAAAAAAAAAAAGCGGGGGGGTTGGGGGGGGCGCAGCCCCCCCCATTTGCAAACACAATGCTCACACGATGCTTTTCAACTAGTTTCTTGGGCTTTGAAGCACGCTTGGTACAGCTTGAAAGAAGCGGGGTTCTGCAAACACCCTGCTCACATGATGGTTTCAACCAGTTTCTTGGGCTTCGGCTGAAAAAAAGCGGGGGGGTTGGGGGGGGCGCAGCCCCCCCCATTTGCAAACACAATGCTCACACGATGTTTTTCAACTAGTTTCTTGGGCTTTGAACGGCTTAAAAAAAAGCGGGGGGGGTTGGGGGGTCTGCGCCCCCCATTTGCAAACACCCTGCTCACATGATGGGTGTCAACAAGTTTCTTGGGCTTTGAAGCGCGCTCTGCACGGCTTAAAAAAAAAGCGGGGGGGTTGGGGGGGGCGCAGCCCCCCCCCATTTGCAAACACAATGCTCACACGATGCTTTTCAACTAGTTTCTTGGGCTTTGAAGCACGCTTGGTACGGCTTAAAAGAAGCGGGGTTCTGCAAACACCCTGCTCACATGATGGGTTTCAACAGTTTCTTGGGCTTCGGCTGAAAAAAAGCGGGGGGGTTGGGGGGGGCGCAGCCCCCCCCATTTGCAAACACAATGCTCACACGATGTTTTTCAACTAGTTTCTTGGGCTTTGAACGGCTTAAAAGAAGCGGGGGGGGTTGGGGGGTCTGCGCCCCCCATTTGCAAACACCCTGCTCACATGATGGGTGTCAACAAGTTTCTTGGCTTTGAAGCGCGCCTCTGCAACCCCTTAAAAAAAGCGGGGGGGTGGGGGGGGGGGCAGCCCCCCCCATTTGCAAACACAATGCTCACACGATGTTTATCAACTAGTTTCTTGGGCTTTGAACGGCTTAAAAAAAGCGGGGGGGTTGGGGGGGGGGGCAGCCCCCCCCCCATTTGCAAACACATGCTCACATGATGGGTGTCAACAAGTTTCTTGGGCTTTGAAGCGCGCTCTGCACGGCTTAAAAAAAGCGGGGGGGTTGGGGGGGGCGCAGCCCCCCCCCCATTTGCAAACACAATGCTCACACGATGCTTTTCAACTAGTTTCTTGGGCTTTGAAGCACGCTTGGTACGGCTTAAAAGAAGCGGGGGGGGGGGGGGGGGAGAGCCCCCCCCCATTTGCAAACACCCTGCTCAGGTGTCAACAAGTTTCTTGGGCTTTGAAGCACGCTCTGCACGGCTTAAAAAAAAAAGCGGGGGGGTTGGGGGGGGCGCAACCCCCCCCATTTGCAAACACAATGCTCACACGATGCTTTTCAACTAGTTTCTTGGGCTTTGAAGCACGCTTGGTACAGCTTGAAAGAAGCGGGGTTCTGCAAACACCCTGCTCACATGATGGCTTTCAACCAGTTTCTTGGGCTTCGGCTGAAAAAAAAGCGGGGGGGTTGGGGGGGGCGCAGCCCCCCCCATTTGCAAACACAATGCTCACACGATGTTTTTTCAACTAGTTTCTTGGGCGTTGAACGGCTTAAAAGAAGCGGGGGGGGTTGGGGGGTCTGCGCCCCCCATTTGCAAACACCCTGCTCACATGATGGGTGTCAACAAGTTTCTTGGGCTTTGAAGCGCGCTCTGCACGGCTTAAAAAAAAGCGGGGGGGTTGGGGGGGGCACAGCCCCCCCCCATTTGCAAACACAATGCTCACACGATGCTTTTCAACTAGTTTCTTGGGCTTTGAAGCACGCTTGGTACAGCTTGAAAGAAGCGGGGTTCTGCAAACACCCTGCTCACATGATGGGTTTCAACTAGTTTCTTGGGCTTCGGCTGAAAAAAAGCGGGGGGGTTGGGGGGGGCGCAGCCCCCCCCATTTGCAAACACAATGCTCACACGATGTTTTTCAACTAGTTTCTTGGGCTTTGAACGGCTTAAAAGAAGCGGGGGGGGGTGGGAGGTCTGCGCCCCCCATTTGCAAACACCCTGCTCACATGATGGGTGTCAACAAGTTTCTTGGGCTTTGAAGCGCGCTCTGCACGCCTTAAAAAAAGCGGGGGGGTTGGGGGGGCGCAGCCCCCCCCATTTGCAAACACAATGCTCACACGATGTTTATCAACTAGTTTCTTGGGCTTTGAAGCACGCTTGGTACGGCTTAAAAGAAGCGGGGGGGGTTGGGGGGGGGGCAGCCCCCCCCCCATTTGCAAACACAATGCTCACATGATGGGTGTCAACAAGTTTCTTGGGCTTTGAAGCACGCTCTGCACGGCTTAAAAAAAGCGGGGGGGTTGGGGGGGGCGCAGCCCCCCCCATTTGCAAACACAATGCTCACACGATGTTTTTCAACTAGTTTCTTGGGCTTCGAAGCACGCTGGTACGGGCTTAAAAGAAGCGGGGGGGGTTGGGGGGGGAGAGCCCCCCCCCCCCATTTGCAAACACCCTGCTCAGGTGTCAACAAGTTTCTTGGGCTTTGAAGCACGCTCTGCACGGCTTAAAAAAAAAAGCGGGCGGGGTGCAGCCCCCCCCATTTGCAAACACAATGCTCACACGATGTTTTTCAACTAGTTTCTTGGGCTTCGAAGCACGCTTCCTTTCTTCCTTCCTTGCTTCCTTCCTTTCTTCCTTCCTTTCTTCCTTCCTTGCTTCCTTCCTTTCTTCCTTCCCTCCTTTCTTCCTTCCTTCCTTCCTTGTTTTCTTCCTTTCCTTCATCCTTCCTTCCTTCCTTTCTTTCCTTCTTTCCTTCTAAAACCTACCAGAAATAACGCTTTCCCATGAAACCACAGAGAAATTACTGTTTTTCGTACGAAAAACCACGAAAATGCATCAAATCCTGTAAAAATATGGAGGGAATGGTGGTTTTCTTAGGAAAAACCAAGGAAATCGACCCAAAAAAAAAAAAAAGGCCCAAAAAAAAAAAAAAAGACCCAAAAAAATAGGCCCTCCGAAAAAAAAGGCGCCGGCCCGCGAGTGAAGGAATGACAAGATGGCATGGACTGTTCCCAACCTATGTCCGTGGCCAACATCGGATCCACACTGTCTGAGGAGGCAGATGCTGCATCGTCAGACGTTGCTGATGAGGAGCTCTCATCTGCTTGAGATTCCATCTGCCCGCGCATGGCCAATAGGTGTTGGGTTGGAGCCTGTTTGAGCGCATGTCGCTTCTGCTGGTAATGTGGCTTCTCTGCTGGCTTCTCTGCTGCCTCATTGACTTTGCTTGCGGGCTCCTGCTGCTGGAGCTGCTTCTTGAGGCTCCAGATTGTCTTCCCCACGCCGAGAACCACCGCATTTCGCTTGCCATCTCTAAACGAAGCAGCATGACCTGCCTGCGCAGTGTCTTCGTCTCCTGAGTCCTGCGGCTCCTCATCTGGCTTCAGGTCCGGTAGCAAGTCGGCGGGCGTCTGCCATGCCGGTTGCAGAAGCTGCTCGAGTGTCTCGTATCCTCTCTGGTCCCTTGGAAGCGGTGTCTGTGAACCCCACAAGCTTCCGGTCGGAGACATGCTAGACTCGCCGAGGTTGCTCCTGGCACCTTTGCTCCTGCGACTGTTTCTGCACCAAGGGCGCGGACGAAAGCTTCTGGAACTTGTGGCTCTGGAGCATGCACTCGTCGAGGGCCGGGTGCTGAATAGGGAGTTCTCCGCGCTGAACGCGGCTTCGGCAGAGATTGCAGACACCGCGCCACTGGTGTAAGGCCTGTGAATGCTGCAGTTTCATGCAGCAAAAAGAGTTTTCACATGCTGTGAGGGCACAACAAAGGCCTCGGAAGCAATTTATCTTCTCGGTGGTCTGCGGGGAGGACCATGTCCATCCTGCACGAGTCAGGTGCTCCGCTTCTGACCATTGACTGCCAAACTTGTTCTGCACTGCCGCCAAGCTTCTCTAAGCGAGCCACATTGGCCAAAGTTTCCTGAGCAAGGTGTTGCTTTGCAGCTGCGTGCGATAGACGGCGTAGCTTCGGGCTAGGGAATGGACGAGTCTTTTCAGCCGAGGGCTTAAGTGCCAGCTCGGGCCAAGAAGTAGGATATCTGTCAGCAGGAATTCATGCCAATGAGGGATTCCTCGTGTGATCCTTCCAAGGAAGAGGCCCCAACTTCGAGGCCTGCTTAGTGGACTAGGGCAGAGGCGCGACAATAGTTAAAATCGCACCCTGGCCTTTCTCGTGGGGCAGGAAGTGCGAAGGGGGATGCGAAAGTGGTGCAGAAAAGAAGATCCACATTCAAAAGTTTTGGAAGCCTTCTGAAGATGGTCTCTGTCTCAGCGCAAAAGCACTGGGAGCTTGGAATGCTCTGCCTCAGTTCCTCTGAGTTTTGTGCGAAGACTCGGAGATCAGAATCGATTTTCACCGGGGTGGGGAAGGGGGGGGGGACCTCGTTCGGGGCAAAGAGCAAACGACAACCCCCACCCCGCTGCGGCCCCATCTGCATGCTAGCACCGCCCGCACGCCAGCATCAGGAGCATTGCTGTTGAACAACAGTCTGTGCATATCAAGTGGCCTTCATGCTGCACGATATGGCTCTAGCTACGAAGGTAGGCAGAGCCTGTCCTGAGCAAAAAGGGAATGATTGAAAGGCAAGCGGCTTCCAGGCTTGAAGGCGGTGCTGGCGCTTGCAGCCATCTGCGCTTGAGCTTTGGCGATCGTGAGGCCTCAAAGTGACCCAACATCAAGAAGTGCCTGCGCAATCCCTGCCCTAGAATACTCCACTGGACCTTTCAGACCTGCAGGGGCTGCCTAGCACTCGTGAGAACAAAGGAAAAAACTGCATCACTTTTGGCCCGGCGGCTGCAAGCCCTTGCGGCACGCGGAGTGGTCTTGCGAGCGACATGTCTGCCAGTGCGCATCGCGCTCCGCGTTATTGATTTCAGATTAGACTGAGGAGTGCAGATCTAGAAGTACCACGCGCTCTACTTCTGTAGACTGTGAAGAGAAATAACCCGATTCATCCTGGCACGGATTGCTAGCAGAGCCGAAAGCCACAGCATACCTTCTTCAGCGCAGCTGCCGTGTTGGCGAGGCAACCCAGGGACTTGCTCCACAGGTGCAGGTGTCCTTTTTGGCTTACGACGGCTGATGTTGCCTGCAGCTGCGGGCTGTCGTGCTGCTGGGGCAACCTCAAAGCATTTCGGCATAGCTGCAAGGAAGTGTCAACAGCTGGTACATCAGGGTGGGAACCGTTCCGTCGATCCATGTTCTTGCCAGGCAGGGGCCAAACAGGGTCACGCCTTCCAGGTCACCTCAGCAAGCTACAGCTGTTTGCCTGACAATGCAAAGCGTAACATCCTTTTTGCGAAATTATTGCAAAACAAGGGTCTTCCATCCTTACTCACCGGCTCTGTCAGGAGCCGGCGCATTGGTCCCAGCCTTCAGAGACATGTCATGCCCAGTCCCACGCTGGGCCAAAGGCCGAGTCCCGAGCACAACCCGGGTGAGTCGAGCATCCAACGCTGCCGGCGGCACCTTCACGAATCCGTAGAAAAGACCTCGCAGGTAAATTCTGAAATTGCCCTGCAGCGAGCGCACTAAGACTGGGGTGGAGTAAGGCAGGTTCTGCCACATCATGCGACATGTTCTGCACCTGTACATTACATCAACAGCACACCTGCCTCAATCCAAAGAATGGAGAGCAATGCGTCCGGTTCGCACACAACTTTCGACGCTAGCGTTTGGGAACATGAACCTTCAGCTTGGGGGAACACGTCACAAGTGTGCCTTGCAGGTACAAAATTTTCAGCGTTCGGGACTGCAAAGATCTAGCGAGGTCTTCGTGGGGCCGTGCATCGCACATGGCACACTGCAGGAGAAGAGTTTGATGGGATGAGCATGTGCGGCGATGGTTTCACATTCACACACACACACACACACACACACACACCCCGAGATACCGAAACGGTGAAGGTTGCGAAGGATGTACTGTGGAGTGGGACGAGCTCATTTCATGATGGAAGACAAAGTTGCAATGTACAGCCCTCTTACCTTTGGCCTGCCTGTCAGTCGTGTCAGGAAAACTCGGCTCGGAAGACTCGGCGAAGAGGCATCACTCGCTTTGGCTTGAGGAACAGTTATGGGCTGCCTTGCACAGCCAGTGCACAGCCTATCACAGCCGGCAGCCATCAATCATGTCACATGTGGCATGCAGGTACGTCATAAGGCCGATCCACACCTCCCGCAGTTGTCAGGGTCAAGCCCCCGGCCTCCTCTGATCGGTGCGGGCGGCCGCTCCGCTAGAGGCCCGGAGCTGTGTAATGGCGACTGCCGTTAGAGGCCCGGAGCGGCGTACCGGTCCTGCTGGAGGTCCGGCGCGTTTTGCCGGTGTCGTGCCCATGCATCGCTGCGGGCATGTGCGGGCGCCGAGGTTGGCATCGACTCTTCCATCAGAGTATGCCAACTGAACGATTGAAATAACAGTCTGCAGGTGCTGAAGGGACGTCTCCCTTCAGTATCTCACCACGCACACATCAGCTTTGTTAGCAGAGGAATCTGTGTGGGTGCCTCTTGTCCCTGCAACTTAAAAACACATTCGAATGCCCGTGCGGACTTGGGTGTTCCCCACACACACATCGAACAAACGCATCACGATTCCGGTATCTCCCAGTCCGTATCTGAGGATGCGCCAAGCTCCAATCCAAGCAATCAAGATTTACCTCGCCCTGCAGGCATCGACAGCTTCGAGGGGCCCCTTCCCTTATGACCAGCAGTTTATGTCAGTCACACTTGCAGCGGAGAAGCCAGCAGCACGGGCGGATTCACTCAGCCTACAGCTACAAGCAACGTTGTGTGAGGTGAGCACAAGATCGGCGCTAGCGGCAGGTCATGACGTTCCACGGGGCTAATTTCAGCCAAAGCCTTTGCAGCGTAAGGAGGGCACGCTGGTGGAGTCTGCGCCCATCGAGGACCCAAGCTCTGCAGCAACGGCGCGACCAAGTCAGGATGCCCTGTCAGGTTGGTTTTGACGACCCTGCTGATGGCGCACATGACACGTGGCATGCAGCTTCTGGCACCTGCTCGAAGACAACTTTCCGCTGCGAAAGTTCGTCCTCTGCACAACTCAGAACGGGGCCCCTCAGTGCTGCCCTTTGCAAGGAGACCACAGGGCCTTCAGCACTCGCCACAGCAGCTGTAGCCAGAGCCCTGAGGTCGAAGCACAGCATGGGCCCTCTGGGCATTTCGGTCCTGGAATGCCCCTAAGAGGCCTTTGCCATGCGCTGGCCCGGGCACAGCACCTCAAGGCTGCTGAAAGACCTTGGCGACCAAGGCCTCGGCCCAACCTGGGCACGGGGGAGGGAGGGTGGGGGGGACCTGCGCAGACCTCCTCAGTGCCTCTTCCTGTATTCTCATGACCTTTCATGACCTTTCATGATCTTTCATGGCCTTTCTTGCGTTCATGCCTCCTGCTAACCTCAGGGCCGATGACAATGATTCAGTTTCAAGTTCAGCTCCAGAGGGATTCTTTGAGGGCGTATTGGAGGCATCTTCAGTGCAGCCTTCTGCCGTGCTTTGCGGCGGGCCGAGCTTACTTCGTTATGCGCTTCCGTCGCGTCTCCAAGCTTTGCATCGCCCATTTTCGACAGGGTCGCAATCAGCTGAGTCACAGTCCAGCAGAAGTGAAACATAGCTAAGGGAGGTCTCTGCCGCCTTCTTTCAGGTCCATCAGCGGCCATACGGGTCCACACCTTGAGAACTAGCACCCCGTCGCGGGTGCAGGAGTCATAGTACGGACATGCAGTGACAACCGCTCATGCAACTGCAATCAACTTGACAGCGCTTAGTCAGGCGCCGCCATCACCTTCATCGTACTCGTTGCCGTCCTCACTTGCAGCCTGGATCTCCGACTTGCATTCATCGATCACCTTTCGGATGTCCATGACCTCAACATGGCACTCTTCCGACGTGGCAGGGCGGCTCTTGGCCCTCAAATGACTTAGACAGCTCTAAGTCTGCAGCCCGCTGTCGATTGCGGTGGTACTGGCGGGCCCGGTGATTCTCGAAGTATGTGCGGTTCCAGGAATTCATCCTTGGCGGATCGCTGAATGCAGCGGAACCTGCCTAGACTCCTGACTGGACTAGACCCGAGGTTCTATCAAACAGCCTTTGGACATAGCCCGCTCTCGGCAGACAGAACGGCCCAACCACGCTAAGGGCATCTAAACTGCAACAAGGCTCTGGTTTGTCATGTAATCGTCCTTGTTGGTGATCAAGCTGGTGTGGGCATCCGTGAAGTTCGTCAATGCCTGGTTCATCTCCTCGCGATTGTTGAGGTACTTTGCTTTCTGTGGGTCGGTGTCTGCGATGGCAGACTCTTGTGTCTGAGTGAAGGCTTCGATCTCACTGTTGGCACCTGCGCAGGGCGGCGACCCGGGGCGCCCTCCGCCCTCTGAAAGGGGCAGAAGCCAAAAAAGAAACAACATGGTAGCTGGCAAGCCTTCGGTGAGTCCTGTGAGGAAGCTCTTCTCAAGGTCTTCCAGCCGTGTGAAAAACTCCCGGCTGTTGTCCAGCATGCTTTTTACAAGATCCATGATCTTCGCCTCGAAATCGGAGAGCGCCTCTTCGATACCTCCATCGTGCTACCGGCATGCACGTTACACACCTTGCACCCCTGTTGGCCAAGGAGCTCTCTTGAAGCGCGATCTCGTTTGCCATGAGCTGGTTCTCCAAGTCGCCCAGTTCATCGAGCAAGTGCTTCAACAAGTCATCAACCTCGGCCCTCACCCCATCTTCTTTGTCCACCTGAGACCTGGGAACGCTCATGCCGCAACGCAAGGGCTCAGTCGTCACACACCTGCCCTGCGCTGTTGCCTTTTTGAAGGGCGCCTCTCTACTTGGGCTCATGCAAGACCTTCTTCTTCACGCTCTTGAAGTCCCGGATCTGCTGAAAGGCTTCATCCTCGCTTTCCTTCTCCGAAGCATAGATCGCCTGCAAGGTGGGCTGGCAGTGGGTGGCATGTACACTCTACGGGAATATTCTGACAGCACGCTCGTTTGTCCAAGCCTTCTCAAAGGCGGAAACCTTTCTCAGGCGAACGTCATTTTTCTCCTGCTGATGTACGCGTGTTGGGGCATTTTGCTAGGCAGCTGCTGCTGAAAGGTGACGGGACTTACATCTTGACAAACTCAAAGCTCCCTTCTCGGTCCTCCATTCGAGCCCGGAGGCCCTTGATCTCTTCAGAGAGCTTGTCTCGATAGTCCTGCTCGCAATTCAAAAGAGCAATTCACAAAAGCAACGCCCCTGCACGTGCACAGAAACTGTAGCAAAGAGAGGCAGGTATCCGAACGTCGCGCTTGCCCTGCTTCTTACCATCAAACATGTTCACGCCAAGTTCCCCACTTAGGTCGGCGTCCTCCTTCAGGCCTTGATAGCACTGCAAGACCAAGACGTTCTCAGGCTCAACCTCCTTGGAAAACATCTCCTCGAATAGATCTTCCGTGCAATCCAGGAAAGCTGTCCTGAATGCCAGGCAGGAGGTCCGTATCAGTACGAGACACCGACAATCTTGCAAAGAGGTGCCAACATGTGCCAGTCAAGACTCTTCAGCTTCTCAATCGTGGAGGACTTTTCCTGGGCTCGTGATGTGAGCGGTTCTCTTCTTCCCGAACGACACCCTAGCTTCCCACACTGCCCCGGCCTTCCACTCAACCCTGAAACCTTGGTGAGATCTGTGGGCACAGCCTCTCTTGTTGAGCTCGCTATCCCCCCAAAAAAGCTACCCATGAAGAGAACTCCCCCTCTCTCTCTCTCTCTCTCCTTTCCTGTTCTTCTCCCTTGTTGTGGCCTGTCTCCTCCTATTTGCTGCGGCAAAGGCTCCGCCTGCGCCTTCTGCCGCGTCTGCTCCGCCTGCTCTTTCTCACGGACCTCTGCATGGAAAATGAAGAGGCATACGCAGATCACATCGTAGAACAGCCCGGACTTATGTTGACAATGTCCAGTTTCTGCAACCGCACAAAAAATGCGATGAGGACCCCAGTTCTCCCAGCCGTTGCTAGGCCAGGGCACGGGCACGACAGCCCGCTTTGCCCCTCTATTGTCAACCCAAAGTCCAGACAAAAACTTCACGGGGCTTTCCAGGTATTCGGGCGGGACGGGATGACGCGCAGCGTTTACACATTAAGAGCTGAAGCACGCAAGCAGCATCTTGCAAAAACATCGTGCATCTGCAGTTGACGAGAGCACAAGCCGCAATCGACGAAGCAAAGCAAACAACCCGCTTTCGATTGCCTCCGTGAGCTCTTCCAGGTTGTAACCTTCCTGGGCCTGGGCCACGGCCTCCAGGATGCTGATTACCGAGGCTTGTTCGGGGAATGGGCATGAAAGGATGGTGACCTTCCGTGGCCCTTCTCAAAATTCACTGGCCTTGCGGTCAATAAGCATGTAGTCAAGGTACTTCAGGTGCGGAAGATATGCCAGCCTTGTTGGTTTCTGCCACTGGGCCACCATGGGTTGTGCGCACCAGTATTTTTTAAACCTAGTTTTAGGCCACGTGGCACGTGTTGGTTGTAGGAGTCATGGTTGCACACCTTGTTTCCCTCCATGCACAGGCATCGCAAGTTTTGAAACTGGCGCAGGTAGTCGATCTGCTTCCTGAGGTTCACATGCACAGCCACCAGCAGGGTAAGCCTAAGGGCAACTGAGAGGTCCTGGCAGTGATGCAGCCCGGCGTCAGATCCTTCATGTTGTTGTGGCCCAAAGACAAGATGTTCAGCTTTGGACAGCCATCCAGCCGGTCTGCCACACAATACTGCGAGACAACACTAAGGCTACACACCAATATGGACTTTTCTGAAGGGCCTTTAATCTCCTCAATCTGGTTGTGGTACAGGGACAGATCCAGCAACTCATGCAGATCGTCCAACCCTTCAATTTCGCCTGAAGCACAGAAAGCACTCCAGCCAAAACAACGTCCAACCGCTCGCGGGCATTCTCTTACGAACCAACCTGCAGCAACACGTGCGGTGCTCTGCCAGGGGTGACATGCTGCGACAAAGCGGCGAATGTTGTTGAAAGACAAGTCGAGCCATGTCAGCTGCCTCAAATGACCCAGGTTGGAGATCCTTGGCGATGCGGCTTTTGGGAGGCAAAATGTGTAATGTCTCAAGATGTTTCGGGATGTGGTGAGAAAGAGGCCAAGGAGCTTGTCAATGATGTTGTTGTCAAGTCGAAGCGTCAGGAGCGAGTCGAAGTTGTTCAGGTTGGAAATCTTCGACAAAAACAGCGGCAGCAAGTCTTCCCATACCCTTACAGCTTACATGCTTCTTCCTGCCTCGATGATATTCTTGAAAGATAGCCGCAAGGACGTCACTTGCGGGAAGTCAATGGGCTCCCATGCGTCGCCATCCGGGCGGACAGGCTCCTCCACCCCTTCGATAAGGAGCTCCTCACTGATGATCTGCGGCTCCACAACCTCGGCCTTTTTCTTCCTGAGCGGCTGGGCTTCGGTGATCTTTGGTTCGTCGCACGTAACAGCATGTGACTGCGCTCGAAGAAACAAAAAAGTTAGCTTCCACTTGGTGGGCCATTGGGCTTCACAGTGGTTGCCACTGAGCCGCCGCTGCTCTATGGCAATTTTTGCCACATTGGCGTTTGAAGAGCCCTGGCCAAGGCTGGCCAAGGCGTCAGCCATGAGCTCCCCCCCCAAAGAGGCCTCTCAATTGAGAGGCTTGAGAGGAAGCTGCGGAGTTGTGCCAGTGCCAGCAAGGGCCAGCAAGGCATCAGTCATCTGCAACATCATGAAACCATGTGCGCAAAAGCTGTAATCATCTTAGACCTGAATGTCCCATTCACTTGGGCACCCACAGCTGCGCCTCCAAAAGAAGAACCAAGGCCAAAGGCCAATGAGCACCCTTCTTGCCTTAAGACAGAAACCGATGCTCGTTGCTCGTTTTGGACAAGAAAAAAAGAATCATCTGCATCGCTTCCAGCATTCCAGCGCGCGCGCGTGCAGACATCCCTGAGGGTTAAAAGTTTTGGATGCACGTGAGCGAAGCTCATTGTTCCTCCCCCTACCACGGTACCCTAAACCCCATAAACTATAGACCCTAAACCCCAATAAACTATATAAACCCTAACTAAACCCCATGAACTATAAACCCCTCATCAGGAATTGCGCATGTGTATCTTGTGGTGTGGCACCGGATTCGAGACATTTGCTGGAACCCATCCATTTTGGGAGATTCCGGTCGTTCTGCCCTCGTTGAAGCCCACACCCCAAACTTTCACCAGGCTACAGGCATGGACTCCGCTGCTGAGCGCCAGGGCGCTGGGCACTTGCTGCCGAGCCGTGCACCTGAGGCACCGAGGAGCACCGACTCCACGACGCACAGGATCCGCTAGACTGTCTCTCTCTGTGTGTCTGTGTCTGTGTGTGTGTGAGTGTGAGTGTGAGTGTCAGTGTCAGTGTCTGTGTCAGTGTCTGCGTCTGCGTCTGCGTCTGTGGCTGTGGCTGTGGCTGTGGCTGTGTCTGTGTCCGTGTCTGTGTCTGTGTCTGTGTCTGTGGCTGTGGCTGTGGCTGTGGCTGTGGCTGTGGCTGTGGCTGTGTCTGTGTCTGTGGCTGTGTCTGTGTCTGTGTCTGTGTCTGTGTCTGTGTGTGTCTCTGTGTGTCTCTGTGTGTCTCTGTGTGTCTCTGTGTGTGTGTGTCTCTGTGTGTCTCTGTGTGTGTGTGTGTGTGTGTGTGTGTCTCTGTGTGTGTGTGTGTGTGTCTCTGTGTGTCTCTGCGTGTGTGTCTCTGTGTGTGTCTCTGTGTGTGTCTCTGTGTGTGTGTGTGTGTGTGTCTCTGTGTGTGTGTGTGTGTGTGTGTGTGTGTGTCT